GCCCCTCTAATTCTATACCCAGAGGGAATTATTAAACAGTATAGTAAATATTGATCCAGATTTTTACCTATGTGTCTAGCACACCTACCTATGCGTTAATTTACTTTTTAATAAAACAGGTACTTTGCAACTTTTTAAAATTTATTTATGCCTACAGCACCTGGTCTTCCTAAGTGGTCTCCCATCCAAGCACTAACCAGGCATGATCCTGCTTAGCTTCCGAGATCAGACATCGGACTTGTTCAGGGTGGCATGGCCGTAGACCATGAACCATGGCTTCACTGAGGTGTAAACACAAGAACTTCTGCATGTAAAGGAGATGTGCTAACCATTACACTATGGAACCACAACCTTTTTTTATCAATTAAATTTTGATCTTAGATATTTTTCCATGTAAGTACACATAAAGTGATTATACTGATATTCATAGTTGCATTGTAGTCTAGTGTATGGAAGCCCAATAATTTATTTATTCATTAGTTTATTGAAGTCATTTAGGTGTCCTTCAATTATTTTCACTCTAACAATGCAGCAATTGGAGTCATTTGTATATTTCTGTAGAAAAACATTCTGGAAGAATTTATCTACAGAAGTGGTTATAATGAGTAAGAATTATATGCCTTTCTAAAATATTTATAATCTGTATTGCCAAATTGTCTTTTGAAAAGATCATACCTTTTTGAATTCCCACAAACTGTGAATAAGTGTGAATATTTCTTCTGCTAACTAGACTGGGCAATCTTTTTAATCCTTGCCAATCTTTTTAATCCTTGCCAATCTAATAGGAAAAATAAATATCTAAGTTTTATTGTTTGATTTGCACTTTTTATGGTAGAGTTAATTGTCTTTTCAAATGTTTAAAAATTAGATTTTTTTTTTTTGTACAAACTCTGTAGTTTTACTCATTGATTTTTTTCTGGTTGAGTTTTTTAATTATTTATTTTTTTCTTTTCTCCTCTTTAAATTTTGAAAATGGCAAGCCTTAGGGTGAGTGAAAATATTCTTCTTAAACAAAAGTCCCTGGCTTTGGACTTGTGTGTCCTCAGTTCATTTATCTTGGAGCTGCACTACAAAAATTTAGTAATCAAAGAAGCCATTAAAATCTGATTTATAAATTCGAATGATTATGGGATTTTACAGTGGAGTTTTCAAAGTGGAGACACATCTGTTTATCTGATTCCAAATAGAGAAATAAACAGAGATGGCAGCTGCATTGTAATGCAATTCAAAATACAAACCTTGGAAGTTTTTGTTGAATGTTGTATAAAAAGAAACTAGTTCAGCTAAAAAGCATAATCCATCAAATGTCTTCCTTGTTCATGCATACCTCTATTTTCACTTGACACAAAATGCTGAAGAATGAATAACAACTAGAATTAATAAGGGAAATTGCCAAGCATTTTGTACATATTGTCAGATGGGTGGTGACTTCTGTATATCAACATGATTTCCTGAGGAGTATATGAGTGGTCGGTCATGTATGAGGGGAGCACTGAAAGAGCATACAATGGTAAGCAGAGAGTCGTAAAAACATACCTTTGAACTCCGCCTTCTCCAGCACGAGGGAGGTGGCTCCATAGGCTGAAACCATTGGCTACAGGGATTGTGGCAGAGGTATTTACTACTCACTGAATGTCATGGGCACTTCCACATTTCCCAGCACCCCTGAAATATGCAGGGGCACAGAACAGTAAGTCTGGCCAATGGGTTGTGAGAAGGAGACAAATGTCACTTCTGGCCTGAAGCATTGAATGTCTTGCCCCCCTCTCTTGCCCTGTTACAGCAACCAAAGAGGTCAGGATCCCATATGGTGCAGCTGAAAGGCAGCTGAACCTCCATCAGCAGCCTGGGGCCTTGAGGGACCAGTTGAAGCAGGTTTCCTCGCTGACCCACATTGGACCTGTAGCATAAGTGAGAAAGAAACTTTTTGTTTGTGTTAAGCACTGAGAGTGGATTGTCGTTTGCATTGCATCATAGCCCAGGTTAACATAGCTGACTCGGCCTTATTAATAATAGCTAACACTGTTGAGTGCTAATCCATTGCAGGCACCAAGCTGTAAATTCTACATGCATTACCTAATATCTCACAACAACCTTATGAGATAGACAATAGTATCATCATATATGACATATGATATATATCTATATCGTACATATCAATGGTATGTAGATATCATCTATATGCAGATATATGATATATCATATATATATGAGATAGACAATAGTATTATCATATATGCCATGATATATATCTATATCATACATATCAATAGTATGTAGATATCATCTATATGCAGATATATGATATGTCATATACATCAGTAGTATATTGTGAAAGGAAGCTTTCTTCCTTTCCTCTTGTTATGCTAGAAATCATGTCTCTCCTTCAAGGTAAGGTCACTCTCTCCACATGAGATCTGGATGCCATCTCTTCTCCCTTTAGAATATTGATTATTCTTTCAGTCTCCTGAATCTGTGTTTTCTCCCCTTCTATTCAGTTTGCCCCTCAGTGTTCTCAAGTCTCTCCAAGCTTAATAAAAGCCCTCCATTCACCTCTCTTCCTCCTCCAATTACTATCTCCCCATCTCTCCTAGACTATCTCTATCTCCTACCTCCAAAGCATTCACCTTCACTTCGTTCCCTTAGCTTCTCCCATTCTTACCACTCTAATATTGTTTATTCTTCCTGCACTCTATCAAACAGCTCTTTTCAGCACCACTAATGATCTCTGCATTCTTAAATTCAGTGAGCATTTAGTTTTCACCTTACTTGATTTCTCAGTGTCATGTGATGCAATTGACCACACTCTCCTTATTAAAACTCTATTCTGTAGGATGTCCCTTTCTGGTCACTCTATCTCCTTTTCAGCTTCAGCATCTGTTGCTGGGCCATTAAATGTGGGCCTTTGTCACATCTCATCCTAACTTCTCTTTTGTTCTCATTCTGTAGTCACTTTCCAGTCATTCACCTAGCAGTCTTTCCCAAGGCTACTATCTCCACCTAGACCCAGGCATCTGCCAAAAAATGTGCCTCCATCTGGACCTTCTGCTCAATTGCCTGCTCAGCTCAGCATCTCCACTTTTATATCATAAACTGTCATGCTCTCCCCGCCTGACCTACCTAACTCCAAAGCCACCTGCTCCTTCATCAATGTTCCCTATCTCAGTAAACAGAGCCACCCTCCCCCTGTCTACCTGTCTTGGAAACCTAGGAGTAGGGCTGCACCAATACCTTCAGGACTGTTTGGTGCCAAAATGTGCTTCACTATATTTTGAAATTAAAAAAATAAATAAGGCATATTATAAATATAATGTCTTTAAAAGTTCTGATTTTCCCTTAGTAACTACAATGATGCTTTTATTTTTTGTATTTTTTTAATAATGCCTACAGCACCTGGTCTTCCTTGGTGGTCTCCCATCCAAGTACTAACCAGGTCCAACCCTGCTTAGCTTTCGAGATCAGGCACATTCAGGGCGGCATGGCTATAGATTACAATGATGCTTTTAAAAAGACTATCCAATCCTTTGCAAAATAATTTAGGGCCTTTTTTTGCTATTGCTCTAAGAGCTATTTGGTAGTCCTGTCTTGCCTAGGAGTTAATAGTCAGACATCATATCTTAATTCTATGTCCTAAAATATTTTCAAATCTGCCTGCTCCTCTCTGGTGCCAATGCCCTCTATTCCAAGCCAGTGTGACTACTTGTCTGAATTTGTGTGAAAACCTCTGAAAACTACTCCCTGCACCAATTTATTCTCCACGAAGCAGACAGGCAGAATGATTCTAGGTATACTTATAATGGATCCTATCAATCCATTGCTTAAAAGCCCTCAATGGCTTCCCATTGTCTTCAGGATAAAATCTTAGATCCTTAACAGGCCCAAGAACCTGCCACCTTGCCATGATCCAGTGTTAACTGTTTGAGCTATGGAAAGAGCCAAGCTCCCTGTGAGCCTTTGCACATGATTTACGCTCTGCCCAGAGCTTTCTTGCCCCCTCCTGGCTTCTTTTTCAGTTCTTACATTTGATGTCCTGTCTTCAGATAAGCTTTTAACCCCTCACACCAGGTCAGTGCTCCTTGTTAAACATTTTCATAGTAACTCCTTCTTTGCTTTGTAACTAAGTAATTATTTGTGTATTGGAAAAAGTCAGTAACACGTTTCTGTACACACAGAAATTCAGCAATCCTTGAATCCTAACCCTGGAAGATGGCTTTTTGCCTTTCTTTTATAATGGCCAAGTGTTGATGCACTGGACACTAAGGTTTGACTACAGAAAAATGTGACATCTCTGGGCAAATTCTAGAGTAATGATGTTCTGCTGTTGGTGAACCTTTTCCAACATGTTCCTGTCACAGATTGTACACCTTAGCCACCTTCTATGGAAGGAAGGGGGCTGTCCAGCATACAAGCTGGACTAGCCAAACTGGGCCCCAGCAAACCCATTGTATAATCCCCACATCCCTAAACGCGGGGAACATTAATCACTTTACAGGGCTGTAGTAGGGCTGACTCATTTAATAAAGATTTAATGAAAATCTAGTATATGCCAGGGTTTGGGTTAGATACTGGGGATACAAATGTGATTTAGGATGTTTAGCAGAGTACCTATCTCATTTAGTTATAAATGGTCACTATTACTAGTGTATTACAGTTGTGCGTCGACGTTTGCCTGTGTAACACACCTTGAGTGAGAACATGTTTTATCTGTGACGTCCATGACTATCCCAACAGGGTCCCTGTGTGGCCAGGATCTCCACCACAGCAAACGTGCGCTCTTTAAGGAACAACTGTGCGGCGTAGCCGCCCCCGCCTCCGCTCCCGGGCCACCAGAGGGCGCGCGGCCTTCCCCGCCCCACCACCGCGT